GGGTTGTTCAACATTAAAACTACCTTTTCTGATGGATTTTTGAGAGGCATCTGTAGTTCTACATTATAAGGTAGCATCCTTATGTAAACTTTTTCCTTTTTGAAAAGTGCATAGAGGGTGCAATTATTATTATTATTTTGAGTTGAAAAGGTTATATGTCCAAATTTTGGGTCCTAAAATTGCTTCTATATTAAATTTTACTTTAGGAAATAAATGGAGAATATACTCCTAGAGGTGGAGCACTAGAAGGAAAAGGCCGCAATACGGCTCTATATGAATAAATTTGAATAATATATTATATATACAAAACTAATTATCTTCTGCAGAATAAAGCACCACAAAAAACTTACAAGCAGGATTGAACTACCAACATCTGGGCTCCTAAAATATGAAGTCAATGTTTACCACTCCAGCATTTAATGTTTAAAAGGGCAAGGGGAATGCCCAAAAGGATATGGATGGAAGTAGTGAGAAGAGATATAGTGACTTATGATCTAACTAGATTTATGGCCTTAATAGAGTAGAATAGCAGAACATGATTCATATAACCAACCCCAAATAGTTGAGATAAAGCTCGAATGATGATAATTATTATAGCATTTAGTGTTACTTGTCCTGAAGTATTCAAAAGACACTGAATTTTTGGCTCCACATACTAGACACCTACAAAAGTACTAAATACCATTACCAGTGTCGGTGGACATTAACTTCTTGTTACTAGTAGATTAGGGTTCTATACAAAATAAATGCAGGTTGGGAAAATTAGATTTCCCTAGGCCTTGGCAAAGGTATGGAAGTAATGACAAAAGCTCAGATCTGCATCACAACAGTCACGATCTGGAGAAAGAAAACATGAATTATTTCCTGTGTTCATGCAAATACTGGTGATTTGTATATGGCCTAATTTTTATTATTTCTTGCGTTCATTTTTTTTTTTTCAAATAGTTGAGAAGTTAGTTTTTTTATGGTCTTAGTGGAGTGGTGCTAGTGGAAATAAAAACCACAATATGGTGACTGGAGCGTGGGACACCACAACCCAAGCTCCTTTCCCAATTTGTTTATGCCCTAATTAGATAGAGGATATCCAAGATACACTCCCTTGGATAAAATCTCGATTTGGAGGACCCAAAATATGGATATCTAACAACCTTATTGTAACAACCAATCTCGCACAAATAAATAACAATAATAATAACGATAATGATGATGATGAGCTATTATTGCTGCTGCTATTATTCTTCTTATTGTTGTTGTTATTGTTGTTATCGTCATCCTTGTTGTTATTGTTATGATTATTATTATGGGCAAGCTTTCTATGCTTCCCCTACAGCATAAAACTTATATACTTCCCCTTATCCAACCTTCCATTCTGAATGGAGGGCTAAGATTGCTCTAATCACAATGTCACATCTCTACACTCTTTTATTTTTAATTTTTTTTCTATAAACTATTTTGACACCAAATTTTGGACATCCAATCCTCTATTAAACTCGCACTAGTGAAAAATATTAAAACAATATTTTTTATAAACTAAAATGACCAAAATACCCCTGAAAGCTTCAAGGGGTATTTTCATCATTATATTTAATCAAAAAAATATTTTCTATAGAACCCCAATGAGAACATAGCACGTACCAAATTCATATTCATATAATTTGTATAAAAACACGAAAAATAAAATGCTTTGAGATGTCGGATCTAAGATCAAAAGGTGAATGGATCTCTTGAACAAAATTGGACGGCTGGATGGTAGGGGAAGCATGGATCTTGTACGCTGTTGGAGAGGTATAGAAACCTTTCCCTATTATTATTATTATTATTATCAATATCACTATCATCTTATTTTATAATGATTTGATCCTAGTCTTTAGGCACTGAAAATCCAAATTTCAAATTTCCAAACTTTTCTCAAGCGATTAGATCTACAGTGTGCTTCCTCCATATACATGCTCATAGTTTAGGTACAGCATCAAGGAGGGTGCAAAGAGTGAAACAAAATAAAAGAACAAACATAAATTGGCAGAGAAATCAAGAAATAGAGAGAGAGAGAAGTAGGTTTTACCTCTAAATTGGCAACAACACCTAGCAATTCAAAAGTCTCCTCTAAAAGAACCATCTCTTTTTGTCACTACCCTTGCAAGCTCTAGAAGTAGAGAAGCCATCCTCTGGGCCTGTTCGGTCAACTTTATAGTTACATCGTCTTGTTTGGTTTTTACATTTTTAAATAAAAAAGATTGTGTAGTGAGCTAATAAGATTTATTAAATTATTCATGCTATGAATCATATTTTACCCCAATCCCATAAAAGTTAGATTTCCTGAACATGTTCGGAGTCTCAAACGACAATCAAGGTATTCAAAAAGAACGCCCAATGATGACAATTCAAAAAGGCCAAAATGCAAAAGTTACATTTTTCCCTTCCTTTTTCTTTTTCAACAAAAGTGATGATATATTAATATAGAAAAAGATTATATAAGTTCTAGCTTTATACTATAGAAGTAAGTTGCACCTCAAAAATCCACCGAAAAAGATTTTTTTGATATCAAAAAAATCTATAATTGATCATCTGGACCTTGAGATATATAGATACGAAATATAAACAAGATCTCAAGTCGTAAAATAACATTTCATAACATATTATCTAGACTTACATATCATAATATATTATCTAGACCATCCATTTTCAAAAAAATTAAATGTTCATAGATCTTCTTGATCTTTACCATTTTAGGGCTTTAAATGTCATAGTTAAGTATGAAATAGATTTTGAGCCATCTTAAGGATTTTTGACACCAGAGTTACTCATATTTCTAGGAGTCCACCCTAATTTGTTAAGGATTTATAACGGGAGTGAACACCTCATGAGCTGGTAACGACTATCATAGAATTGACGGTCCCTCACAAAAACACCTTAGAATCACCGAAGCCATGACATACCTAAGACGAGCCGCTAGAACCTTGGTTAGGATTTTTTATGAAATATTAAGCAGGCCGATCAGATAAAAGTCCTTTAATTTGGAGGCACCGTTAAATAGCAAAAAGTGGAGTTCTTACCACTATTAACAACACGCCACTCCACACTTCGAGTAAAAAGTTCGAAGCTCTGGGAATGCAGAATCCAACCATAAAAGAGCGGTAGGGAAGCCATCTGGCCCTAGGGCTTTATCATGACCAATATCATCATCAACTTTATTTAATTTGAACTTCAAAAACCGAAACAGGTGGCTCAAAGCCATTTGTGGTTGTTAGAAAGGCGGGATTCCCCAATACGGGTCTGTCCTTGGGTAGGCTATTTGGTAAAGAGATCCTAGAAATATCTACCATTGCTCAATGGCGTTGAAGAACAAAGCCACTTGACCCAAGATTTTGGTGCCAAAAGATCGGGAAAAAGAGGTCTCGGCTCTTTCATAATATCGAGCATGGAAATCTCTTGGAGGAATAAGTCTTTCCTGGTTTTTGAAATCCCATGATCGTTCGTACACCAACATTTGAAGAGGGGTCTCAACAGCTGAGGCATTTTGGAAACTGAGAAAGAGCGTGGAGAAACTGAAATGCACCTTCTTCTCCATAAATTTGATTAGTTTTATAATGTTTTTCAAGGGCCACTTCCTTTAGGAATGTTTTGACAATTATGGGCCCTGCATCGAGGCATTTCTTCACTACATCATGTCATTTGCCTTTTCAAATTGATTTTCACCTAAATAAATAAAAATAACCTCCAAAAATCATATCTACAATATGAGATTCTCTCTATTCATGGTATGCAGTATTTACAAAACTGCAAAAAAAGCATAATGAGGATATTTAAAATAGAAGAAATATACAAATAGACTATTTACTTTTTGTATAAGGAGGTCACAATCATTATTGTCCATTGGATTTTAAATCAAGTAGTTGTTACTGTGACGTTGACTAAACTCAAAATAGAAAATTAAAAAAAATTAAAGTTCGTGACACCCCAATCTATCGAATTTGACATCTAATGGTTAACTGTGATTGTGACATCATTGTACTAAAAATATATAGTCTCATAGCATACAATCCCTTTAAAATATCACGACAACACAATGCAAGTAATTTAGAAATCTAGCTACTTCAAAATAAATTTCAATTTTATTTTTATTACAAGAATATATGTTTCAATGAATTGTAGGTAGATTAGGGGCCCGTGGAAATTGCTTTTCACAAAGAAGTGAAAATCGAAATTTATCCTTAATGAAATGTATCCTTATTATCTCCAGTGATTCCAATGAGCAAGGAATCATGTTATTACATACCATGGTAGTAAGAAGATATATGATTGTCTTGATGGAATTTGCAACATCGGCAGCTTGTCGAAGTGCTTGTGAGACTGCTTGGCTCTTACCATGAAAGTCATGCATTCCATTCACTTCAAGTCATTGCAGGAAAAGTGTACAAAGAGATCATTTACTTTTAGTTCTAGGAGCTCACAATCAATATTTTCTGTTAGATTTCAAATTGGATAGTTGTAGTATATCCTTGATTTAGACTCAAAGTCCAAAAAAGAGTTTTTTGAAATTCATGATATATCCTAAGTTATCCAATTGGAGATCTAATAGCTAGGAGTACTTGTAACGTCCTTGTAATAAAAATAAACAATGTCATTCATTGCGGCAAAATCAATATTGTTACATTGAAATAGGGAAGAAGCATTGTTGCTTTTTTTGTCTAGTTATACTAAGGGCACATTTGGTACACATAAAAATACTTTCTCAAAAGTTTTTTCACGTGAAAAAACTCCATCATGATATTAGATTTGGGAGGTTTTTCATATCAATTGGTATTAGTTGTTGAAGGTTTTTCACAGCAGTTGGCTGCCAACTTATGAGAAAAACCACCCACATCTAATCGTATAAGGGAATTTTTTCACATATAAGTACTTCACTGAAGTATTTTAGTCAATTGATGTGAAAAAACATCTAATCACTTGAAGGAGTTTTTTACTTAAAAATATTTCCACATAAATATTTTCATGCGTACCAAACGGGCCCTAAATACTTTTCTTTTTCCTTATTTTTTGCTTACCTTGGCCCCATCAACCAAAGGGACTCTGGACACAACAACTGTGTTCAAGCAATCCTTGGTCTTGGAAACCGCTACAGTATGCTCTCTCTGAATGCCATCCCATGCTTTGAACGCCTTTGCCTACATTGCAGATTAAATTTATTGCAGTCATTTCTTTATGTGACAAGACTTGTTTATTGGATTTGTAAACTAGGAAAGTATATTTTTTATGTTATTAGTTTAACTTTTGTGAATAAATATTTGAATAAAATTGAAGAAGTCACCTCTTTTCGACATTTATGTCTGTGCTCTATATACGAAGGGATCAAACTTGAGCTCCCTTATACAAGATACACAATTCCCAAAACAGAAGATGGCAAATAAAAAATTGAAATCTACGTTACAATACGATGAGTTTGGGAAGTTATGGATAACACAAAAGATGGAGCATTTTCTATATTTTATCGTGAAGCCAACATGGTAACAAATACACTTGTAAAGAAGGAGGTTACAAAAGATGGAGCATTTTCTATATTTTATCGTGAAGCCAACATGGTAACAAATACACTTGTAAAGAAGGAGGTTACAGCTATGGTTTAGCGTTCTAGACCGCCGGAGCACCCCGCAAAGCTTAGTATTTTCTCTCTCCATGGGCTCCACATGGCTGGCATTTCCCTTTTCCCTGGACTGTGATAGGTAAGGATGCCGTCACGCATGCAGTCATGGTAAAACATTCATTCCGAGTGTTCTGCTTACAAACTTACGCAATTGCTATTTCTTCCTTATTAGCATGCATGTTTATTAAAGAAATAATCCAGGAAAACAAATCCTAAACTACATAATGAGCTTAATTTTAAAAAAATTATGCATAAGGTCAGTCACTTTCTTCTTTTTTTTTTCTTTTTTTTTAATATTTTACCCCCAAAGTTTGATGTTAGAACTTTGTTTTCTGTTTTTTTTTCCCCTCAAACGTACGTTGACCTAAGATGTAGGACACTTTTAGGCCGGTTCCGAGGTCAAGGACCTTGGAGAGCTAATTTTGTGGCTTTAGGACACAATGAGAGTGGTCTGATCTGTGCATATTTCCCTGTTTGATATCCTTGACTATGGACTGCCAATTTTATGGTGGTCCGATATTTCGGATGTCGGACCTCCCTTGAAGTGTCCCAAAACATAGGACACAACCCTATGTTCTCAAAAACGGATTAAAAAAATATTAAATGAAAACCACCGTGATGTTGCTAATATAAGACCATGGGGCAAAATAGAAAAAATAAAAAATTTCTATGAGAATTGACCTTGCTTTTAATTTTTTTTTAAAAAAAAATTAAACTCATACCATTTTTTCTAGGTTTGTTTTTGTGTCCGCAAGTAATCTTGTTGTAACATGTTGATTGATTAATAAAAAGTTCCGAAAATTGTGAAGAAAACAAAAAGAAAAAACTAAACAAAAATTTAGAGTGATTTATGTACAAACTTTGAAATTTTAGGTAAAATACAAAAATCTCCAGGTATAGGTCGAAATTACAAAAGTCGGTCGAGCCACTTTTTTCAAAAAATTTTAAAATTGCCTTTCGATCAACACTAATTTTGATTTTTCTTTTTATTTTATTTGTTAGTAGGGCAATACCCCAATCTTTAAGGCATTGTCATACTAACGAAAAAACTAAAAAATAAATAAAAATAAAAAACTAAAGAAGTTTGGTAGATCTTATTTGTCATTTTCGCATAGTAGGGGAGCATTTCATAATTTATCAAAAAATTTAAGTTCCCATGTACAAGTTGAGTTGTTCACGGCTATATGAATGTTGATGGGGCAAAGCAGCATGGTATGGCACGTACACGCTGGCTTGTATAAACAACAAACACATGCTACGAGTGAGAATGCACATAACATGAGAAGCCATGTGTGTAAGAATTTTAAGACCTCAAAGTCTTTTTCCTAATTTTACTAAAAAAATGCTCACAAGTCGGAAAATGATTTTCTGTCAAAGAAAATTTCCTATGTATATATACTAAGGGGGCGTTTGGATGCCTGAAAACATATTGCCTATGAAATATATTACAAACGTAATACATTAGTGCGTAATACATTACTTGCAAATGGATTGTCACTATTTGGGTAGTATTTAGATGCTTGGAAAATACATTGCTACTATTTGGCTACATCTGGAAGAAATATGAGAAATACATTACCATCCAAATATGAAAAATATGGCGATGTTTGGCTAACATGATTAGACTTTAGTTTCAACATGATAAGTCATTAGAATAATATGATTGGAATAATATGATTTTATCGTGATAAGACTTATTTTTATTTATTTTTTATGGAAGTCTTTCAAATATTTCTTTATATACAATTTCAAATAAGCAATAAATTTATGATACCAAAATCAAAATCTTTATGGTACCAAGTTAAAAATGGGAAGAAGTTTGATTGGTAAACTAAAGGTTTGGTAATTGCAGTAGAAAATTTTGAAGCATTGGAGGAGACTAAAGAGGTTTCTTATTTCAATTGAGCTTTTACTAATCTCTTATGAGGATCGTGTTGTGTAATTTCTCATCCATTACCAATTATTATTTTTATTATTTTTGTTTTTATATGAAAACTATTAGCGGGCTACAACCAAAATTAGAAATAGAGGGATGTAAAAACTTTTTTATTATGATTGCAGTAGAAAATTGTCCCTCATCAAGTTCTACTATTGTTCAAATCAATTTAGATTTCTCTTACTTTCACTTACCAATTATTAAAAAATTTTGTTTTTATATGAGAGTCACATGAAGGCTACAACCCAAATTGGGGATATATAAATTTTTAGGGGATATATAAATTTTTTATTATGATGGCAGTAGAAAATTGTCCTCATATATTTGTTAAAATCAATTTAGATTCCCCTTTTCATATCCCCTATTTTCACTTTTCGTTTATTTTAATAATTATACAATTCAGTTTATACTAGGGAAATGTTCTTTTCAGCAGGATAGGGTACCCCTAACCACGCACCATGAGACGGATTAGTAATTTTTGAAGAAATTTAGAGTAATCTCAGGTAATCTATTTCCATTTCCTTATTATTAAAGTATATCCAAACAGTGTAAATGTCATATTTCTTTGTAATCTATTGTCACATAATAGATTTCCAAATACCAAACGACCTTTGGATATTCTTTTGAAATTACTATTTCAAGAAAAATAAAATAATTCTCAAAAAAATTTCAGCCGTCCTTTAAAAGGGATTCAATGGAAAAATAATTTTCTTAAATGAAAAAAAAATGAAAGTAATAATGAGTGTACCGGTGATCCGAGTACATAGTTGAGCTTGTGGTCAAGCTTGTCCTTATGAAATTGGAAAGGCTTATGTGATACGGATTCTTGAAGCTTTGAAACACTTCCCCAAGCGTTTATAAAAATTAATCTGCAGGACCAACAAGACATGAGCTATCTCAAGTTCACCTTTTTATGGATGGAAAATGGTTTGATAGAGCTGCAGCCCTATCAAGATAGGTAAAGCCCCACCTTAACTCATCAAAAATTGCTATTCTAAATGTTAAAAAACCTTGAAATCGATCATCTCAATTAACAATGTGGTTGTGTAAAAAAATTAGGATTTTAAATTCTAAAAGAATTGTACATTGTAACAAATCATCTAGACCATCCATTTCACCCTAAAAATACATCTTCATAGATCCACTGTACTATTTTTTGAATTTCAAATTTTATTGTCTGTGTTGGAAATTAATTTTAGAACCATCATAAAGATTTCCAATGGCGAAAGAGCTTTTTAGTTGAGAATTTGAGGCGAGGCTTTATTTTGTTCTCATAAAGCTCAGACCCTATAAAAAGTTCATCCTTTATCGATATTTTCTTTACTAAACTATTTTCTTTTTTTTTTGGCAATTCTATAGGTCAATTAAAATTTCCGAAAACTGACATTGCCCGTAGCCCAATGATTCAGGTACTCCACATCTCAAGTCTAATGCCCTTTTAATGGCAAAATGATAAGGTCACGACTCACGAATTCACTGCTTCCAATGAGGGAGAATTCAACCAAAGCAGGAAATAAAAGTTGTTCTTGGAATTTGTCAAAAAAAAAAGTGTTCTTGAAAAGTATTGCAACGAGCCTGCCTGGCCCAAGCCCGGCCTTGGTCCCTATAACACTGGCCCTGCCCTAGCTTTATCAAGGCCGGGCCAAATAAAAGAAAAATAAGTTTAAGGAAAAGTAAAGAAAAAATAAAATCAGGCTAGCCCTGCATTGGCCTTTGCCCTCTTCCCGTCCGGCCCGGCCCGGCCCTGCCCTGCCCTCCCCTCGGGCTCTGGTATCCTAGTCAACGGCTCACATTTTGTAACCCCGTACTCATTTTTCAAGGCTGGATCAAATGGACCGAGCCAAGCCAACCAATAAAATACAACGGTGTGAGATCTGCATTAATTTAGCTTCTATGTTCTTTTCAATTTCAGCCAAGGCCCAAAAATAATTCTGTGATACTGTTAACTAAATTTCAGCGAAGGTCCAAAAAAAAAATTTTTATATACAGTCGCTTCCTTATATGTTATAGAAGGTGAACCTCAAAAACCTTAGTAGAAAAGAGTGTTCCGTAGTTGAAAATTTTCCAAGTGTTTAAAGAACTACTTCATCTGCATCATTTTTTGTACTTTTAAATTTCATAATTAAACTTTTAAATTTCATAATTATAGTTAAAATAGATTTTCAGTTTATGACGTTGTTAACTAAATCTTTCGACAAAATTTAAAGGTGCACCTTTCTTGAAAAGTATTATTCAAACCTCACAAAAAAAAGAAAGAAAAGGTCCTCCATAGACGTTTTAAAAAGGATTAGCGAAAGAAATGAAAAAGAAGAGATCATAGGGTTGTTATTGCCCATTGCGATCCGTTTGTTTGATGGCCTATATCTAACGGTTCCTCTGTTAACCGATCATCTATACCGTCCCTCATCATTTATTAATGGAAGGCAGAGATGGGCCTGCAGTAATACACAGTATAGGCATGACAATCACATCAAATTCTTCTCTAATCCTTATCAAGAAAGGAAGAAAGGGAGGGTAGCTTAAAACTGTGAGGGAAATCTAGTATGCACTGGGTTAAATTCTTTGAAGCAAAAAGTTTATATAAGGTGCAACCTTATACTACTGAAGTAAGGTGCAGTTAAAAATTGGAGCAGAAAATAGTGTTCCAAAGTTGGAAAGCCTTCTAATTGACCATTTCAATTTTCAAATGAATAGATATAAAAAAAGGAAAAAAAAAAATCAAGTATTTAAAATAGTTCATCTTGTAACAAGTTACGTGGACTATCTATTTTCAATATTTTCATGTGTTTACATATTTACTTTAGTTCATCTTGTAACAAGTTATCTGGACTGTCTATTTTCAAGATTTTCATGTGTTTACATATTTATTTATCTACAGTACTTTTAAGATTTTACTTTTCATAATTAGGGTTGAACTTGTATTTTTAAGCCATCATAAGGCTTTTGGCCCGAAACTACATCTTCCAACAAAGTTTTGATGTACACCTTACTTGTATAGTATAAGGTGGGCAACTTGTACAAACCACACTCTTTTTTAAATAATCCTATGGTCCATATTTTGCAAAAGTTCATGACAAGGTCCCTCTTTTTTTTCAAGTTTTTCCCTCTATTCAATGTTTCAAATATCAAACCATTTTACCTTTTTATGTTTTGGAATTTGTGGGGCTTCCCGATATATAAGATTTCTGAGGTGGTCCAATTTTTGAAACATTTGGGACTGCCCTATGATCTAATGTGTTCTTTTGTATGGGGCTATCCTATGTTTCATACATTGGACCAGTACATACTTAGCTTTTTCTTTTTTGTAAGGTGTACATGGCCAATGTTTGAAACATGGACCGCTATAGAAATTGGGTAGTCTGATATCTCAACCGAAGAGTAGTGATGCATATTTAAACGGGTATGTGCATAAATTCTCAAAACTTCACTCTGGGGTAAAATGAGTAGCAACAAGTAGCATATGCTTCTCTGTAAGGAATTATATACTATAAGACCATTCACTTTTGATATACTGAGGTGACAATTACTCTTTGCTAAATCCGCAGATTAATGTATGCTATAACATTCGAGATATTTTATTTTGAACTTTTTGTCAGTCAAATGACAAATCTCCAACCAACTATTGCCATGTCTAACAATCAACAATAGTAGTGACCTCCTTATATCAAAAGAAAATGGTCGTCTTCTATACACATCCATCCAAATTGTCTATTCGAATCGACACCGTGCATGAGCTATCCAAAACCTTTTTTTGAGGTTTAAAATACTACGCAAAGACTATAATTTTCCACAATAACGTAACACAAACTTGGGGCGAGTTTATAAGTACCTATAAGACCGTTCATTTTTAGTACAAGGATGTCACAGACACTTTTAGCTATTGGATGTGAAATCTAAGGGATATAAGTGTTTATTATATTCGAGAAATTTTAGTTTGAACTTTGTGACTAATCAATGACACATCCCCAACCACCCTATTACATCTGACACTGAGGAATGATTTTGATCTCCTTGTATCCAAATATATATAGGGCAAGCTTTTTATGCTTCCCCTACAACATAAAAGTTCTATCCTCCCCCTTATCCAACCTTCCATTCTGAATGGAGGGCAAAGATTGCCCTAATCACAATGTCACGTCTCTACACTATTATATTTTTAATTTTTTTATAAACTATTTTGACTCCAAATTTGGGACATCCATTCTTCTATTAAACTTGCACTAGCAAAAAGTATAAAAAAAAAATTTTCAATAAAATAAAATGACCAAAATACCGCAGAAAATTGTAAGGGGTATTTTGGTCATTATATTTTATCAAAAAATTAATTTTAATATTTTTTTATAGGTGCGCCCCAATGAGAATATGGCACGTACCAAATTTCAAAATTGGACAGCGGGATGGTAGGGGGAGGATAGAAGTTCTATGTTATAGGAGAAGCATAGAAACCTTTCTCATATATATATATATATATA